ATAAGCTACTTTATTCTGAGAAAACAGCTGCACTTTGTATAGTCACCCCTTTCTTCCTACAAGTTAAGAACAAGTTTAGGTAGAACAAGTCTGGCTAAATTCTACTTAACACAGAAGACTTGGGAATACAGAATTCCCCAAACAGGTAGGAATTACAGGGTCCTACTCAGGGAACTGAATTAATGAGAGATATATATTGTAAAAAGTTCCAGGTAACTCAGCAATTGTCTCTATTGTAGAAAACTGAGCGAGACTTGTGTGGTTTAATCACCGACCTGCAACTAAAATCACTAAACCGCATAGTTGGATTCAGAATCTTTATTCTTCTAAGTTTACATTAGTACAGATTTCATTTTGGAAAACGTGAATAAAGCATCACCTGAAATAGATACACACATGTAATAGTGAGTTTTGATTAGTAGTTTTAGCGAACTAAAGATCTTTTAAAGCTTCATCAAGTACATATACAATTTTTAAAGTTTTACATAAAGTTATATAGAGACTTGAACACTGAAATAATGGACAGAAATATCAAGATAAATTTATTCCATTCAGTGATAACCACTATCTTTTCACAGTATGTGAAGTTTTATGCATTTTATGCTAATAAAAAGGCTAATACATTAGACTGACATGGCTTAATCTTTTGTTTATTTGTCGACAGCAAGAGTTTTGACATAATAAACACCTGAACAAACACTTCAGAAAACAACTGAAGTGAAAACTGTCTTTAATAAACTCAAAGACATTCCTACTCTACAACTCAAGTCAGTACTTAATGCACTACAGTACATATATTAACATGGGTGCTAGTCAGCAATGTTGAACATAAAAAGTAAGCTAAAGACGACTAAAACAACAGGATGCCTTTCACATAAATAATTTTAAACGTGCAACGGCACATATTGCTAAGGGACATATATACTCATAGAGGAAATATAGCTCAATGCACAGGAATGATACAAATCAATACTGGATAGTGGCTAGCTGGATGGGAGGAGGGAAGAGGGAGAACGGGGCAGAATGCAGAGCGGCTCAAAGCACTGCTCAGGTGGGTACAGAGAGGTTCATCTTATTAGTCTTTACGTCTTGTTGTAGGTCTTGAAAATTTCAAAATATAATAGAAAACATTTCTCTGTCAGATGACAAAAGTCCTGTTTATACTGCCAGATTTAATGTAATCTTGAGGATTATACGAGACTAATACATAACAAGAATATTTTTGTGCTACATCATTTCTTTCAACAGTTACTGCTTCAATTTTTAAAAACATTGTCTCACTGAACAAATATTTACTGAACACTGTATTCATTTTCTTATTCAAAATATTGAGCTCCACTACATGCCAGACAGATAAAACAGTGGAAGCAAAATTATCAGTCTCTGCCTTTATGTAGCTTAAAACCTAGTGGAAGCAGCAAGCAATTAACCAAATAAGCACACGATGAACCACACTTCACACCTCATCACTCCTTCCTTCTTAAAAATACTTCCTTCACTTGGCTCATCTAATTCCATACTAATAACCCGATTTTCCTCCTAAATCACTCACTGCTGCTTCTTCATCTTTTGCGAATTTCACTTAAGCACCAAGTAGGACCCTTCTCTCATCTATACTCACTTTCCTGGTAACCTCACCTTACACTTTAAGTATCTCTATGGGGACTTCTCTCAAACTACACTTGCAACCTGGACAAGTAACGTAATATATATCGCCTAACTCAATGTTCTAACAGACTTGTAAACCCAAACATGTCCAAAGCCGAACTCCTGCTCTTTCCTCCAAAAGGCTCTGGCCTTTCTCCACAAGGCAACATTGCATATAATATTCTTATATGAATGGCAGCTCCAGGAGTTGTGAACACAATAATTTTCCATCTCAGAGAATATCAAGTACATGCTTCTGGCATCAGGCCAAAAACCCTGGCATCACCCGCAACTACTCTTGCACGCAGAGTCTAACAACTTTTCACCACCTCTTCTGATCCCATCCTGACCCAAGCCACCTTGCTCTCTTACCTGGTCTCCTCGATTCAGTCCTTGGTACCACGCCCTAACTCCCTACCTGAGTCAGCAGTCACAGCTAACCTAAAGCGCTACTGAAAATCTCAGTCAGAAACTGCCACTCCTCTACTCAAAAGCATCCAAGAGTTTCCCGTCTTTTTCAGAGTAATGATCTGCAAGGCCCTAGACCATCTAGCCCTCACTCTACCTCCCTCCTCTACTTCACTCCCTCCCTCCCTCCATCGTGCAGCTCACTGGCCTTTGTCCTGGCTGTTCTCTGCCTGGAACACTCTCCCCCAAACACCCAGGATTCACTCTCTCGCTTCCTTCAGGTCTTTGCTCAGATGGCACCTTCACAGTGAAGGCTTCCTGAAACCATCCCATCTGCAATCAAAACCCCCACTGTCCTCACTTCCTATTCTCTTCTGGCTGCTTTATGTTTTTCATGACACACTATCTAGCTCACTTCATTCAAATATAAAACCCACCAGGGCAGGAATTTTAGTCTGTCTGCTGCTGTATCTCTCGCAACGAAACCAGCACCTAGCATGTAACAGATGCTCAGCAAATGCTTGTTGAATCACAAAACATCAATGGAAACTTGCAACTGACAAGTGTAGTGAAGAAGCAGAGAGCACTAGGAGAACCGCCGGGAAGACAAAAAAAGCTTCCCTGAGAAAGTCAAACTTGACCTAAGAACTGAAGGATGAACAGGACTTAACTAGGATGTACACAGGCTCAGTGGTGACAGGGATGAAAAGGCCAGTGTGGCTAGACTAGGATGAGGCAGAAGATACATAAGGAGGCAAAACTATGAGGAGATTTGTGGACCATATTAGGGTAGTTTGTCTTTATCCTCAGAGCAATAGAAAGCCACTGAAGTGTTCTAAGCAGAGGGATCCTTATGAGCAGATTTACACATTCGAAAACATTCCTATGGGTGCTGGACAGAAAAGAGTTTACAAGGGTCAATGGATGCAGGTAGATCAGGAAGAAGGTACTACAGCTGAGATAAAATGGTATCTTGGATTGGGGTGTTGGGAGTAGAGAGGAAATGGATAGAGAAGACACTCAGGATGTTAAAAAAAAATCAGTAAGACTGGTATTAAGTTAGATAAGGAAGTGGGACCAAGGAATTTTAAGACTCACTTCTGAATTTCACAAAGTAGTGTCAGATGTCTCAGGAAGATAAAAAATTCCCATAGTGACCTGAATTCCATGTCTTCAGTAATTATTATCTAGATCTTCAATGTCCAAAGCCCCTAGTCACTAATGGTTAGTGAGTACTTGAAATGTGGCTACTCCAAATAAAGATGTGCTGTAACTGTATAACACACATTGAATTTCAAGGTCTTAGTAGAGAAAAAATATAAAATGCTCAATAATTTTATACTGATTAAAAGTCAAACTGATAATATTTTGGATGTTGTAGGTTAAATAAAATTATTAAAATTAATTCCATCTGTTTAATTTTTTATTTAGAAAAAAATTTTAATGTTTATTTTTGAGAGACAGAGTATGAGTGAGAGAGGGGCAGAGAGAGAGGGAGTCATACAATCTGCAGCAGATTCCAGGCTCTGAGCTGTCAGCACACAGTGTTACACGGGGCTTGAACTCACGAGCCATGAGATATGACTTGAGCTGAAGTCGGATGCTCAACCGACTGAGCCACCCAGGTGCCCCTCATCTGTTTCATTTTTACTTCATAATGTGGCTACTAGAAAATGTAAAGTTATGTAAGTGGTTCACACTGTGTATCCAATGGATAGGACTACTCTCCTATGAAACAGTAATATGGTCACTGCAGTTTATTCAAAAGAAAAACCTGTCTATAGATAAGACGGCTGAATTTCTGGGCAAAAAAAAGTGTAATTTTTGTAAAGAATTTAGTTTCTTTTGTTCAGGGATGTGAGGAAATGCAAGTTTTTGTCATCTAAATACAAAAGCCATTTTCTGTTTGCATGTTATGTGTCGAACAGATTGCTCCTCCTATTGCTAATCTAATGGTTCTACTGAGAGAATCCTCATGGTATAGGGCAAATGTTAGGAAAACACTGAATTGTGGAAATGACAGGGACTCAGAGATCATTCAGGCCCACTCCTTCCTTTTGTAAATGACAAACTTGAGATACTAAGACATTAACTAACTTACTTTAAAATCACACTGTCTACACCACTTAAGATACAGATGTTTTCTCTAACTCCTTATAGTAATTACAGCGTTCAAGGCCACTGCACACTTTTATATACAACAAATACACTACATTTTGTTCCCAAAAGAATTAAAAAAATATGTATCTTATGGTACTGAATATTGGTATTATCACACTTCATTTTGGGGTGCAAAATCATACTTGTATTATTACTTGGTAAGAGTAGAAATAGAAAAAGCACCAGTTTGAAACCCAATTCCTACACTTAGCTGTGCAGCAAGGACAACTGTCTTTCTGTCTTCTCATCAGTAATATACATTACCACACTCAAGTTCATACACACACACAGCATACTAAATGGCTTACAGTAGGTAGATGCATAATAAATGTCAGTCTCCTTTTTAATAAAAGTAAAAAATGCCTTCCTTGATCCTCCCTCTTCTCTCTAAAAATGTCAACACAGAGTCATACTTTAAAGTCATAAATAAAGTAAGGGAAAAAACTGCTGTAGTGAGTTGTGAAACCCAGTTTCTCATTCCCATTCTCCCACGAAAAAGTTTCAAAGCCTTGGGTGACCATTCACCCTAAGTCTAGTGCCCCCCTCAGAAGAGTGACAAAGCCTAATCATCCAAAATGATTCATCAGTCCTGCCTGTGACTCAGCGATTTGTGTTTATGACTGCCACATGAGTTTCTGACGCCTGAATAGTATATGGACAGTCATATCAAAATCTTTAAACACTGAAACATTAATATGAATCTGACATTTCTAAAACTTCTTAATTTGGGATACTATTAATGACCATTCTGTATATTTAAAAGAAAAGTTCTTAAAACTACTCACATCTGGTTGAATGGCTTTAAATACTGGAACGTCCATTAGCGTTATCTGACCCTGAAATAGAAAGTAAAAAATGACAATTTCTTGGGAATTCTAGGACATGACATATATTCTAAATTAGAATTATATTCTATACTACAATGTATTGAATACTCATATTTTTACTTCAGAAAAAGAGTCATTTTTATAAGGCATTACAGAAAATGAAAATTTAGCCCTTGTACCATTAAATATGATTACTTCAAATTATCTCATACCTATTCATATTTTCTTGTGACATAAATGAAGTAAAGTTAGAAAATAAAACAAAAAGGGGTGCTTGGGTGGCTAAGTCAGTTAAGTGTCCGACCTCATCTCAGGTCATGGTCTCGCAGTCCATGGGTTCTGTGCTAATCACACAGAGCCTGGAGTCTGCTTTGAGGTCTGTGTTTCCCTTTCTCTCTGCCCCTCCCCCACTCATGCTCGTGCTCTCTCTCTCTCAAAAATAAACAAATGTTTTTATTTATTTAAATTTTATTTTTTAAAATTTACATACAAATTAGTTAGCATATAGTGAAACAATGATTTCAGGAGTAGATTCCTTTTTTTTTCTTTAATTAAATTTTGTGAAGTTGATTTTTTTATTTTTAAACCATTTTCTCAGGTATTCCTTTATTTTTTCAATACATGAAATTTATTGTCAAATTGGTTTCCATACA